TTGAATCAGTAGTGTCGGAGATTAACGCGTTCAAACAAACAAACATAAAAACATACTCTTCAGCTTCTTTATCCAGGGATTTATGGGTTGTATATTTTGTTTTTAAATATGATAATGAATTACTTTTCTGTGTCAACTTAAACTGAATACATCGCTGGATAGAAGTTACCTAAGAATCGTGTTAGGACTGTGGGCAAAACAAAATGGATTCTTGTAAAGAAACTTTCTTAAAACAACGATTTAGGTCTATATGTACTTAGATCGATTTTGGCCTAAGTATAAGTCAGTGTTATATCTCAACAACTTCGTACCTCAAATAGAAAATTTCACTATTGAAACTTCGTAAAAAAACTCATAGAATGATACATAAAACAAACAACATTCCCATGCCTAACTTCAAATGATTTTGAGAGCAAGTAAGTTCTAGAAGAGAGCGCCTAAGACCATTAAAAACCCTATTAGAAAAAAAAAATAAGAAGAATAATAAAAACAAATGAATAATACATGTAAATTGTATGTGTTGTAGTGTAAGAGATACATTATAACAGCCTAGCCAATCAATTTTAAACTTTAATCCGTTGAGATAATGCTGTCAACCCGCAAATTGGGTACTTGCCAACTAGTCAAGTTCAATACTTTTTTCGAGCTGTCAAAAAACGACAGTTTTCTATGAATTTTGTACGTAACTGTGTATTGTGATGTCACGTTTTTTTTAGCGTCAAACAGCGTAATTATTCCTTAAAAAATTGCTGCAAAAATACTAAATTAGGTTGGTCATAAAATCAATTAATGAAAGTGTGATTACGTTTTAATATTTTATTATATTGAACAGTCGAAATAATTTATTTTTGATTAAGAAAAGTACCCAATTAATTACAAAAGAAAATAAGAATCAGCATTTTTAGACAGAAACAGATATTAAAATTAATTGGCATAGCTCATAATAGGATTGGTTACAGGTATAGAAGCCTTAGTACGAGTTTTACTTTACACTTAAAGTAATCGAAAAGAAGACCGCGTTCTGAGCTTTGATTGGCCGGATCCAATGAACCAAGCAATCAGAGCGTCGAACGCGGTCTCGTTTGTTTTATGGCATAAGCCGGTAAACGAGCAGACGGATCTCCTTATAGTAAGCAAACGGCGTGGCCCATGGATACCCGGAACACTAGAGGCGTTACAATTGCGTTACCGGCCATTTGAGGATTAGGAATTTGAGGATTCAGGGATTTTGTAGATCTGGGTGCTTACTCTTGAAATCAATCTCAATGTCAATCCAATAAAATCTCAATAATTAGTCAATGTCAAAACTAAACAACCCTTATCGAAGCTGTTAAAGTAGCATTCAAGTTACGAAGTATAAAACTAAACTCAATACCATTTAGTTCATTCAATATCCACGCAATACGGATGCAATGAGCGCCAGTGTTGCAACTCAATAGTACGAAAGTTCACAATACCAATGTCGATCGATCGGAATTGGATTCAAGAGTAAGACCCCAGGGGAGGGGAGGGATAATTGGGACTCCGGTAACCTCAGTTACACGACGAAACACAACGCAAGCGATATTTCACGACAGTCAATCGACTTCACCCTTGGACACCTTTTTTTTTTTTTTTTTGAGGGGGGAAAATCATCCAATGACTTCTCCCGCCTGGGTGAGGCGGGAGGGAGTGTCAGACTCTTACTGACTAAAAACCACCCTACCTGTTCCTACACCTGCACTTCGAACCGGAGCCCCGGCAACCCGTTAAGTCTTCCGCGGCTCCGTATCGGCATCAGCCTTGTTAGGCCCCATCTGTGGTGGTCTGATGGCTCCTTGAGGCGCGCGCGGAACGCGACGCGCCGTACGCACGGGCCTGGTTCTGGTCGGGCGGCGAGTCACCCATGCTCGCCGTCCGCAGACCCGTGCTTACGGTGGCCGGAGATCGTCTCGCGATCCCCGACGCCCGGAGTGTCTCTCGCGACGGCCGGGTCGTGAGGAGGTTCGTTCCCTCACGCGCTCCGCCTCCTCCTTAGCTAGCATGACTGCTTCGCAGAAGGAGGAGACGGCATCCCAGTCCCCCTCGCTCCGTACCATGGTCTGAACCAGAGCCGGACGCGAGAGGTCGCCGTCGCCGATCACATTCCTGAGGACACGGCGGTGCTCAGTCCACGCAGGACACACCGCCACCGTATGCTCCACCGTGTCCTCCGGGCGATCCTCGCAGTGATGACACCCGGGCGTTTCCTCCCGCCCAATCCGAAACAGGAACCTACCGAAACTTCCGTGTCCGGTAAGCACCTGCGTCAGGCGGTAGGTGAGGACGCCGTAGCGTCTCTCAAGCCACTCCTCAAAGAGGGGACTTACCGCTGCAATGAACCCTTGGACACCTGGAATACCAGAGGCGTTACAAGTGCGTCACAGGTCTTTTGGAGATTAGGAATTTATAAGGATTGTTGGGGATTCAGGGGTTGGGGAGATTGGTGAACGGCGAGAGGGTAAAACGGGGAGGGGGTAACTGGGCCTCCGGTAACCTCACTCGCACGACGAAACACAACGCAAACGTTTAGTGTTTTTAGCATGGGTTTTTTATGAGGTTGTGGTATCACTCCGATCGAGCCGGCGCATTCATGCCGAAGCATGGCTCTCCCACACTGGCACGATTACTTTAAACGAAAACAAAATCGTACTAAGCTCTCACATACCTAACTACAGGTATAAATCTAATCAAAGTAAGCTAGGTATTAGTATAATAGATATTTTAATAAACAATATTATTTACCTGCACTCTCTTGTTCGTTTATCTGAAAGCAAAATTCAATTAAATATAGGTAGGTACATACTCACTCGTCACCCTAAGGGTAAGGACTTACGGCGCGATTTTCTCCCGCGCCCGTCGCGGTTGCGGTCCCGCAGCTTTTGTAGAATACAGATGTGTATGTAAAAAATTAAAGCACATTTCACGGCGCGTTTTATGCCCGCGGCTGGTTGTACGGTGTACCTAGGGTTGCCACCGTTTTCTTTGGTATTTAAAGTACATTGACGATTATAGGTAAGAAAAAAAAGTACACAGTACAAAAATAAAGTACAATTTATTCTTATTTAGTATTATATTTAAAAATATGTTTTTTATTGCTTTTTGCAGTTTGTATTAAATTAGTATCTTTACTAAACAATTGCATTGAAATACTAAACAATTGCATCTTTACTAGAAATTGTCTAAGTGGCGCTGGCAAGTTATCGATTCAACATAAATCGATATGTTTACCGAAAAATACTTACGACTTTAATAGAAATGAAGTTTGCAAAAATAAAGTACTTTCGTGTACTTTATTATTCTTATAAAGTATAGAGTACAATTACCTTAAATAACGTACAATACTTTATTATAAAGTACGGGTGGCAACCCTAGTTGTACCCGTGCGCTCTGCGATCGGTTGACGGGCGATCGCAATGGGAAGCCCGGTCTGGAACTCAATTGATTGTTTAACCGCCCGCCCGTCTTGCGATAATCAACCGCTAAGTTTGCGGGTGATAATCACCACTGTGACCGCTGCGTAACCTACTGCGGTCTTGTGAGTTTTAAAAATTAATCTCCATCCGCTTCTTTGGGTGAAAATCGCGTCGTGAGTCCATAGCGTCAGTTAAATATTCCATTCAAGATAATACTGTAGTCCTTTTAAAATATTAATAGCAAACTGTATCTATGTTACAATCTTATATTATATTTTTATTAGGAGTTCTCAAAGGCTATTTTTTATGGAATAGGAGGCAAACGAGCAGACGGATCACCTGATGGTAAGCGATCAGCGCCGCCCATGGACACCCGCTACACCAGAGGAGTCACAGTCTTTTAAAAACGAATACTTAATTAATATTCACAAGGTTTTGTAATCATCTTTATCAACATTAGTTACTTATTTAATATTTATTGTTGTAAATATAGGTATAAATAAATTACCCCCAAAAGCCGGCAATGCACTTGTATTGCGCTTCTGGTGTTCCAGGTGTCCATGGGCGACGCTAAATCGTAACCATCAAGTGATCCGTCTACTCGTTTATCGGCTTATTCCGTACAAGACCTACAGTAACATTCCTTTCCTAACTATGAGGACCTCATCTACAGATGTAAGATTTACATCAATCGTCAAGCTTGTAAGGTTGTTTCAAGTAAGTAATAATATACAGTATGAAGCTGTACTGTTTTCAAATTTGTATCAAAGCAGGTGATGTGTGAAGTTCACTTACCGTTGGTTCGTCAGCCCCATCGTTCTGAACCGGACAGATTTTCTTATGCTGGTAGTACCGATTCATTAGCCGCGGACACACTTGGAACACCTGAAAAAAATACTCTACAATTTAACGGACTTAAGAAAGAAGACATAACATAACATAACATCACCTTTTTATCTCCGAAGGGGTAGGCAGAGGTGCACGTTATACCACTGTACAATGTAACACCCACTTTTCATTATTTATGTTATGAGTCCCATGTAATAGGGGGTGAGCTTATTGCCATATACCGGGCACAATTCCAGACTCCGTGCTACTACTGAGAATATTTAAAAACCCAGTAATACTTTGCCCGACCCGGGAATCGCACCCGAGACCCCTTGCCCGGCAGTCGCACTTACGACCGCTCGGCCAACGAGGCAGTTAAGGAAGAAGGTTTTTAGAATTTTCAACAAGGCTCGTCACTAGGATTTTGTCCCGTTATTTGGATTTGCTTACAAAAACAGAATTTACTTAAGTACACATCACACCCAGAACAATAGTTTGTCGGTCGCAATAAAACTGATCCGTGTCAGAATCTAACCCGCAATGTGATGGGCAGAGCTGGTCGCCTAGAAACTTTTTTTTAGGGGAAAAAATTATCCAATGACTTCTCCCGCCCGGGTCAGGGCGAGAGGGATTGTCAGACTCTTACTGACTAAAAACCACCCCGTTCCTACTCCCGCACTTCGAGCCGGAGCCCCGGTAACCCGTTAGGTACTCCGCGGCTCCGTATCGGCAGCAGCCCTATTGGGCCCCATCTGTGGTGGTCTGATGGCTCCTTGAGGCGCGCGCGGAACGCGACGCGTTGTACGCTCGGGCCTGGTTCTGGTCGAGCGGCGAGTTACCCGAGCTCGCCGTCCGCAGGCCCGAGCTTACGGTGGCCGGAGATCGTTTCGCGATCCCCGATGCCCAGAGTGTCTCTCGCGACGGCTGGGGCATGAGGAGGTTCATTCCCTCACGCGCCCTGCCTCCTTCTTAGCTAGCATAACTGCTTCGCAGAAGGAGGAGACGGCATCCCAGTGTCGTCCAGATACTACGCCAACATTATAACTATAAGCCTGGAGAAATGGAGAGACTCCTACTACTGTTATCCACGCCGGCGAAGCCACATAAGGAACATTCAAAAGGTAATATAATAAAGATCACAAAATCACATAGCAATATCTACATATCATAATTGTATTTATATTGATTTATTATGTATGTCTTTACCATTCACGGGACCACAGGGTCCCGGTCATTTGGGAGGCGTACGAGGGGCCGTAGCCAACTGCGCAGAGGCCCTTTACACAACTTTAATATATTATTGTTATTTCTTTTTTTTATAAAAGTCATAATTTAGGTTTAATTTTACGTTATTTGTGTTATAAACTGTGGCTCGATGTCGTTATTTCTTTTTGTCCCACAGGCCCACAGGAAGATTTACAGTTGGAATATGTGGGACCTATGTTTTCGTTTTTATATAAGCGTCGTCCTTTGTGATAATAAATAAGACTAACCATAGATCTACCAGAACAGAAAGTTTAATATAATTCACTTACAAAAGGCCGTTCCCTATAAATCTGTCGGATGGTACTCCTGATGTATTTGGAGACGTCACTCAAGCTCATGTCTCTGACGGAGTGGGCTGGTCGCTCGAACCGGAGCGGACGAGCCGGCTGCGATGGGCTCCTGGATCCGGACGGGCTTGGAGAACCGTCCGATCTATTGCGAGTACTGCCCGCTTTCAAATAGTCGTAGCTAGTACTGAATTTTGGATCTCTGTATAGAGATTCTCTGGAAAATATATATAAATTTTACATAATATAACTTCACGCTTTTATTCTCGAAGGGGTAAGCAGAGGTGCGTATTACGACACTTAATGCCACTGCACAATGTAACACCCACTTTTTACTATTTTATGTTATGAGTCCCATGTAATAGGGGGTGATACCATATACCGGGTACATTTCTAGACTCCGTGCTACTATTGAGATTTTTTGAAAAACCCAGTAATTTTTTGCTCGACCCAGGAATCGAACCCGAGACCCCTTGCATCACGTTAGCTACCGCATAGATCCTAGGTTAAATAACCTTTATTGCCGAACAACGCACTTGTAGGTCCTCCGGTGTTGCGGGTGTCAGTGGGTGGCGCCGCCGCCGATTGATTACCATGAGATAATCATTATCACGATCAATCGAAAGATGTCTACTGGACAAAGGCCTCCCGCTTATGACCAGCTTCAATAACCTTTCTACTAGAGATAGAATTTTGACACATTTTGTATGGAGCTTGTGTTTATAGTACTTGTAGAAGTAGTTTATAGAAACTGGTCGTTACTCCTCAACGTCAATCGACAGCTTGCCATCTGTATGCATTACGTCTAGAATACGTCTGCTCGATTGCCATCCTATCTTTCTTTATATATATAATTCTTCTGTGAGTGTGTATGTCACTGAACTTCTCTCAAACGACTGGACCGATTTTGATGAAATTTTTTATGTGTGTTCAAGGGGATCTGGGAATGGTTTAGATTCACAAATCAGCCCGGCAGATGGCGCTGCAGTCGGTGTCTAGGTTATTTATCCTAAACGGCTGAACTAATTTGATTGAATTTTTGTTTATACATTCAAGTGGATATGCAGGACAACGTCTGTCGGGTCCTCTAGTTCCATATAAAAACTTACGACATCCGAAGGAAGAGTAGGCCTTTTTTTTTTAAGGGGGGAAAATCATCGAATGACTGCTCCCGCTTGGGTGAGGCGGGAGGGAGTGTCAGACTCTTACTGACTAAAAACCACCCCGTTCCTTCTCCTGCACGTCGAGCCGGAGCCCCGGTTACCCGTTAGGTTCTCCGCGACTCCGAATCGGAGGAAGAGTAGGCCTGGAAACCAATATATTCTACTTTTTTCATATCATGACGGTGGCAAGAAAAACACACGGCCCATCTGATGGTAAGCGGTTACCGTGGCCTATATACGCCTGCAACACATGGGGCATTACTATGCGCCTTGCTGACCCTTAAAAACCTATTTACTACCTTCTTGAAGAACCCCATGTTATAGCCTGCTGGGAAAATCTTTGCAGGGAGTTTATGCCACAATCGGAGGGAAAGAAAATTCCTCTGAAACCGAACTGTACGGAACTATTTGGGGTCCAATGCGTGAGCGTGAATTCCCTGTCTATGGCGAGCGGTGTGAAAGCAAACCGCTTTGTTTTATTGATACAAAAACCATGTTATTACCTGAGATGTCTGCTCTCACTAACAGGCGAGTAAAGCCTGAAGTTCCTAGCCCTGCCCTTGTATCCAATAGGCCCGCTCGGTGCATCCCTCGGTTTTCTCGTATACGTCTGCTGATGCTTCGATGCCCTGAAGCTATCGTGAAGATCTGACGAGCCATCTTCATTTAAGGATCTCATGCTCCTTGAAGGTCTGGTCCCTCTAGATGCTGTTGAAACGCTTGAAAATATAAGCATAGTAAAATTATGTGCTGTGATATGAGTCACCTCGATGTGAAGGTAGCTAGCTTAATAGGTTCGAAAACCCATAAAATTCAATAATACTCCGCCTGAATCGAATTTGCGACAGCTTGCTTGGCCTTGGCGTTGTTTTTATTTCTTTTTAAGGATCATCCAATGGATTGAAGCATCTAATGGATTCTCCCGCCTGGATGAGGCGGGTGAGGTAATAGGCGGAACGCGACACACCGTACGCTCAGGTCTGATTCTGGTCGACTGGGCGGCGAGCTACTAATGCTCACCGTCCGCAGGCCCGTGTTCACGGTGGCCGGATATAGTCTCAAGATCCCCGACGCCCATCACGCTTGGACTTAACCAATAAAGTCCTAGTCGAAATTATTGACCACCATAATTTTTCGCAGCCTTTAAATGTCGCGCTGACCTCCCCTCAATCAAAGAAGGAGCAAAACATTAATCACCAATCAATTTTCCCTACACCAACTCAAACCTAACTTTCAACACCAATATTTAAATTTATAAATAAGCAGGTTAGAAAAATCATCAGTTTACATACAATTCTTACTCTGCGTATATCTCAAGAGCCTCTCGATGAGGTCTGTGGAGGCAGTCCTGCCAGTCACCGAGGGGTACTTCCTTAGGGAGTGGACAAACGCCTCCGTGTATCGGCTGGACCTGCTGCGGTGGAGGAGACCTGGAAGTGTGATGGTAAATGAGAAGTTGGTGAAGTGATGTGATTGTAAATATGTGTTAGGGGATATAAAAAATGAGATTATATTATGAAGTTATCGAGTAAGTCTATAAGAATGTAGAATAATAATAAGATAGAAGAATACTTCAATTATAAAATCAACAGATTCTGATGGTGCGATGAGTTATAACGCTTGTGTTGTGTTTCGTCGTGTGAGTGAGGTCACCGGAGGCCCAATTATCCCTCCCCCGTTCCCCAATTTCTCCAATCCCTGAATCTCCCACAATCTTCAAACTTATTATAAAAACTATAAGCCCAGGTTTCCTCACGATGTTTTTCTTTCACCGTTTATCAGTGGTGTCTAAATAACCTTAGAAAGTACATATAACTCGGAAAAAGTCACATTGGTACTTGCCGTTGGTAGGTTTCGGACGCGCACCCTCATGCTTGAGAAGTGGGCGTCTTAAACCTCCGGGCCACCACGACACTTACCAAATTTATACAAAGACAATAAATATTCAGATCAGCTCAACTCACCACCACTGCTTCTATCAGCCCTGACTTGGCATCCGGTGTGCACTCGGAACCTCGAGTTGGTCCTCTGGTTGACATATCCACTGCCATGACCACCCACTTCGAAGTTCCCTTGATCTGTTGAGTTTGAGAAGATAATTAACACAAAAAACTTCTCATTTTTTATCCCCGAGGAGCACATTACGGCACTTAAAGCTACTGTATAATGTAACACCCACTTTTCATTATTTATATTATGAGTCCCATGTAATAGGGGGTGAGCCTATCGCCATATACTGGACACACTTTCAAACTCCGTGCTACTATTGAGATTCTTTTTAAAAACTCAGTAATACTTTGTCCGACCCGGGAATCGAACCCGAGACCCCTTGCCGACAGTCGCACTTGCGACCATTTGGCCAATGAAGCAATCAAAAGATAATTAACTATCGCCCGAATACTGAAACGGTACCAAATTTTAAGTTGTAATTAAATATGTGCCATCTCTGTTACTTTATAAGGAATTTGTAGTGTAACTATACTTTAGCGCAACTTAAATTCGTGTGACGTTTGAGTATTTAGACATATATAAGTTATCTATTATTGTCTGCAGTATTGTAGATGCGTTTTTGACAGATCACAGTCTGAAACATAGCCATTAGATAATCAGTCGCCTTTATACCTGCGTCCACCGAGCAAGCAATAAGCAATAAGAGACTAAAAACCACCCCGTTCCTACTCCTGCTCTTCGAGCCGGAGCCTCGGCCACTCGTTAAGTCTACGCAGCTCCATAATCATTTAATATTTTGTTACAAAACTTGACTTACTGCGACACGGCTCCTTCCTCTGCGGAGGGAACTCCGACACTCCCTCTGGCGGAGACGTCGGACTCACCATGCAGTGTGCAGTCTGTCAATAACAATTTAAGTACATTAAATCGATTTTTGGATACACGGCATCACATCAAACTTTGAAATCCCAGTATAAACTGATTGACGAATGTGCGGCAGGATCATATAAAACGGGACCATGGTAAATTGGTCTTGTTTAGCTCTACAGGGTAGAATGTTGTACTGCCACCTGAAATTGTACTCTTAATACTTTAAATAGAAAATTGTACTCAAAGAAAACATTCCTTTATTTTTGAAAAGAAACAAAATTGCATTCCTCACAGAAAACAGACGTGAAGCAATGCTTGCGTTGTGTTTCGTCGTGTGAGTGAGGTTACCGGAGGCCCAATTACCCCCTTCTCCAGTCTCCCCAATCCCCGAATCCCCAACAATCCTCAAATTCCTAATTCTCAATTCATTTGTAATGCCTCTGGTGTTTCAGGTGTCCATGGGCGGCGCCGATTGCTTACCATCAGGTGATCCGTCTGCATGTTTACCGGCTTATACCATTAAAAATATTTCAAAGATTTTTAGAAACTCGCTTGCCGCACACAGTAATTAAACCGATTAAAATCTGTAAAAGTTGCATCCTGTACTTTTATTGCATCGATCGTTAGGGCCAGTGAGGATGAAATGTCTTTAACAAACTTCATATAAATTGAATGAAAAGAAAACAATGGAATATTAAATTATTAATTCAATTGTTGACCCAATGGTTCAAGCACTTAAAGTATGAAGAATTTTCCTTTCAGATGGCATTACAAAATTCCATCCTGTATTAGCTATGTGCGCGACAGTGGCGACGCGTAGCGTTTACAACATTTGCGGAAGCTGTCAAATAATAGCAATGTAAACATTATAAATGCAAATATAAATAAAATCAAAGATTAAAATAGTATTGTTGACATTATTTAAGTGCAATTTATTCAATAGTTTTACTGTAAAATGAATATAATAATAAAAACCGGGTTTGCATCATCCGCATTTGTTTCCAATTTCTGCCGTGTTGTGCGCTGCGGTCGATATCTGTCTGCCACTACTCGTTTTGCACATAGCTAATATATAGCCTAGTAGTTTCTACAGTTTTGATTACTTTGACAAATAATTCTACGTATTTCCCCGCGTCCTAATGTTAGATACGGAAACACACAATTACAGCACATTATAATTTTTTATTGCTACAACAATGAATGTTTTGTCCACTTCGTCTTCTGTGCAATTTTATAGAACTTTTTGCGCATTTGTATATTCCATTAACAAACCCGGCGAAGTTCATTTCGCCACCAGATGGCTTCTGTTTATGTAACATTTCGTTATTTTTTTTCTCCTGAATTTTCTTACCTATAAACCTCAAGGAGCCCGAGACCTTTCTAACGAATACAAAATCGTGGAAATCGGTTCGTGCGTTCTGGAGTTATAGCGTCAGAAAGGAAAATCCGACTTATTTTTATATATAGTAGATTTGCAATACGAACATTGTCACAAGACATTGATGGTCGGGTGTTTCTCAGACAAATTTTAACTTTTATTTAACAGATAATTATCTTCCCGCCTTGTTGCATCACAGTAACATATTAGCATCTACATTTTCATTGGATTGGTTGAGAGCGGTGACACGGCTCAATTTCTTGAAACCAATCTTTCGATTAATGATAATGACACCATTAATTTGTTGCGATTTTTTTTTTGTAGAATCGCCCGGTCCTGTGTTCTTGGCGGAAAATGGCCGTCGCCAAAACAAAAAAAAAAAATGAATTTGAATAATTGGCATTTTAGATTAATGAGCTTCTTTCGCGAACCTTTGTTTCCCAAACGAATATGGACAGAAGTGATAATACATAATAGTGATAATACTGTGATAATGCATTGAATTTTTACTAAACATTAATCATCATCTTGTCTCCTACATTAAAATCTCATTGTTTCACATCATTCAATATTACGTATGTACATACCTTATAACTACTGGCGTATCTTCCATCACAGATCTGCACGCCAGTGTCAGATTTCCTCGTGGTATCTGTGCTGGTGTCCACTGAAGACCTAGGGAAATTTGAGTTTTCACTGAATTCTGAAAAAAGGCATAAACATATTTGTATGTACATCGCGGACGACCTTGACGGTAAAAGTATAATTTCGGATACCTATTTAATAATTAATTATTCTTTGACTTTGTACAATTGGGTAGTTTCCAGGGTATCAAAATTAAAAATCTAATTAGTCCGTCGGTAAGATAATGAAAAAATATTAGACACGTGTTTTTATATTTTCTCGTATTCAGTTGCAATACTTAGATAAAATGGCGCTAAGTTTATGAGAAGGTCGTTACGTCATAACGTGCTACAAAATGTGGCACGCTGTGACGTCACACTATATTTCAAATTAATATATCGTCGAAAGCATTTAATTTTGTGAGAAAAGAAAAAATACGTGTCTAAAGTTTTAAATTAATGTACCAGACGGACATTCAAATAAAATTTAGGAAACTACCCTATTAGGGAATCGAACGGGAGACTGTTTGGTTGCTTGGTAATGATAAGTAATGTGAGTGGAGGATTCCATAATTCTCAATCATCCCTAAAAGGTCTACTACGGACTTGTGAGTTTCAGGTGATCCAGGTGTCCATATTAAACCTAGAGAGGGCTATAAGCAAGAACCTCTTTGGTGCCTCTTATTTTTCTTGACGCTGCCGCCCTCTATGAACATCTCGTGAATTTGGTACTTTCCTTAATCAAAAATAAATTATTTCGACTGTTCAATTCAATAAAATATTACAAAATAATCACACTTCCATTAATTGACTTTATGACTAACTTCATTTTAGTATTTATCCAGCAAATGTTTAAGAAATATGTACATATGCTGTTTGGCGCTAAAAAAACGTGACGTCACGATACACAATCTCGTAAAAAAATCATAGAAAACTGTCGTTTTTGACAGTTCAAAAAAAATTGAAATTGACTAGTTGGCAATTACCCACGAATGAAATTATTGTATGTTCCCTATTTACGCTTTATCTACTGATTGATTCTTGACAATAGTTAGTACCAAATAAGGTGATCTATTATTGAAATAATTGTCAATAAACTACGTTTACGAGTACGCGTATCTGCCCCTCTGGCGCCCTACGCACTTGCTTAGTTTGATGATAAAAAAACTAAGTATTTAGGTACTCAAACTCACGTATCCTAGGTCTTGGCGATCTCCTTCTGTCTGTGTTCTGTCTGGACCTGTTCATCACTGTCAAGGTCACTCCAGCGGAGTCCAGCCCCTGGACTATCGCCATCATGCCCTCGCCGTCCCCTTCCATTGTAGCTTCACTGTATTTGTACGGGTATATGCTGGAATATGTAGTTAGGGAGTTTAGGGTTACAGCTATGCAGGGTGGTCGGGCAGTTGATGATGAGGATCCAAATAATCACTTTTTTTAGTAAGTTTTGTAATTATTATAATGCGTCAAGCGTGTCTGCATTATTCATACATATAAGTACGTACAGTATTGGAATATGTATCAGAGACATTGTAGAACATATTTGTTTAAAAAGAGTAACGAATGTAGTTTCTTGCTCGTTCTTCTCCATTCGAATCTACATTTTGGAATGAGCACCTAGCTTCACCTAGCTTCACTGACGGACTGACTGACAGATTATTATTTATTTTGTATTTATTGACGTTTTAAAAGTACCAAATTATTATTTTTTTTTTTCTTCTTTGGCAAAACCAAATTATGGTTTAATAAATGCTTTCACTTTGACGTCAAAGTCATCTCTATGCATGTTCTACGACTTTGCTTAGTTTTAAAGTTATAATGTATTTAATGATTTCTTTCCTAATTTTCCCCTAACATCAGTTTTCGAATTTTTCTCATTCTGTTGGACGTTTCTGGTTCATTTATTTTATGATACCTGGCTAATATGTACAGTATATAGCTTAAGTGTGGGAGAGCCATGCTTCGGTAGGTACGAATGGGCCGGCTCGACCGGAGTGATACCACGGCCTCACAGAAAACCGACGTGAAACAACGCTTGCGTTGTCGTTGTGTGAGTGAGGTTACCGGAGGCCCAATTACCCCCTCCCTAGTCTCCCGAATCCTCCACAATCCTCAAATTCCCAATTCCCAAAAGGCCGGTGACGCACATGTAACGCCTTGGTGTCTCGGGTGACCATGGGCGGCGCCGATTGCTTACCATCAGGTGATCTGCTCGTTTATCGGCTAATGCTATAAAAATAAGTCTATCGAGTAACACCGCACCTTTAGTCGTATTTATCATCTTAAAATTAGCTACATACGTACGGTCATTTTAAGAACTCGCAGCAGTGAATAATATAGGTCTGGCCTATAGCAGCCTTGCCAGTTTTCACCGAGGGTAATTTGCCTGGAAACAAAACATTCATGACACACTACACAGACGGTCCAGAGATAAAAAAAAAACATGGTGTAGTGAAGCACTTTTTTCTATATGTGATGGGCCGACGTTTACCCACTATCTCGCCTGGTGGTAAGCGATGATGCGGTCTCCGATGGAGCACGTCGACCCATAAGCAACCTATTCACTCGGGCCTTGAAGACTCCCAGGTTATAACCCTTCAGGATAATACAGACTCTGGCAAAGAATTCCACTTTCAAGCTAACACTCCATCATAGTTTATTATTGGCTTTGGGCCTTTATTACATAATAGGGTCTGCCATGACCGCCTGGCAAGCAAGTTGGAGATCGCAGCTTAAAAAAGATCAGGTTTATCAGAGACAGCTAAGCGTTAAAAGAGGTGATTTAGGCACAACCCTCTGATTGTAGAGAAGGCCAATAATCTAGCAGTGTTAGCTAAAATACACCGGGAAATGTATTAAGTTATCGTCCCGTGGCAAAACAATTTGCCATAAGGAGTACTTTAGATTTATAAAAGTGAAAAATCATGGAAATACGCACATGAAACACTAGACGTAAATTTGTAGACACTATTCGCATCGCACGTGCACCCGACAAGAAATAACTCTTCGAGAATAACACGGCGTGATGTTTTGATAATGTACTATGAGTTCGTACGCGCTTCCGAAGTTTGCTTTATGCAATGGTTCACCAGTTATGTTTTGTTTTAAACATTTTATTTCTTTGTAAAACTATTGTATTACCGAGACAGAACCATTTTACTTCGGGACGAAAACGAAATAGATTTCACGGTGTATGTATATATATCAACAAAAAAACCAAGACTTACATTATAAGATTAATAAAACAATAATTTGCATACAAGTAAACAGTGAAATAACTCGGTAGACACAATATCCTGAAACGATTTGATTTGTAATAGGTATATGTTTATATATAAAAAATAAAAATATTACAATTTAGAATTTGTGTAGCGATGCCGTCATCATGACATTGAGGATCTTATTTCCTTTTTTACTTCATTTTATTCCTCTTTCAGTTTGATAACAAATAAGGTTTAAACATGAGGTTACGACTATCTCAAGGATGTAAGGATGTATGATGTATGCTTAGATATATTCACGTTTTTAGGATAAGACATCAATGTATATGTATAAAATCTCAGTAGTAGCACGGAGTCTGGAATTGTGTCTGGTATATGGCAATAGGCTCACCCCCTATTACATGGCACTCATAACATAAATAGTGATAAGTGGGTGTTACATTGTAGTGGCATAAAGTGCACCTCTGCCTACCGCTTCGGGAATAAAATGTGTGATGTTATATTATGTTATATGTATCTGATTCAATGAATTAAGTATGTAATTAAGTTATACTAGCTTTTGCCCGCGACTTCGTACGCGCAATCCCGTTTTCTCCAGTTCCCATAGGATTTTCAAGATTGTGAAGATCTGACATAAACCTTCTCCTGACAATGACATACACAACAAAAAATAATCAGTAAAATCGGTCTAGCCGTTCTCAAGTTATGGCGTGACAACGGGAAACAGGTTTCATTTTTATAATATAGATAGGTTTTTCTATGCAAACATGCTAAATCTAGAAATACGGAAGTCCTAAATACGTGATAGTATTCTATCTAATTATTCAAATTACATGCATTTCGGTTGGGTTCATAAAAACATGTTTAATTAAAGCTAAGCTACATAATTATAATTTGGAATAATTTAATGTCAAGGTTGAATCAATTAAAATGTTAACAACTAAATAAAAAGCACGACTCCATATTGTTTTATCTGTCAAAATGACAGTTTATCATAAATGTCAAATGTTTTGGCGGGAACATGGAGTATGGAGGTATGGAGTACCATCTTTTCCATCGCATTCACAGCCCGGGACAGTCCTCTTCTGGACTATGAGACTCCCTTACGGTTCTAGTTCTTACTTAAGAAGGGATAACCATAATCTTCATGTTTTCAGATGGGTAAGAGGTTACGGAGCCACGGAAGGCCTGAAGGGTTACCGGGGCTCCGGCTTGAAGAGCAGAAGTAGGAACGGTGTGCTTTATAGTCAGTAAGAGTCTGACACTCCCTTTCGCCTACCCCAAGGCGGGAGAAGTCATTCGATGATTTCTCCCCCCCCCCCTAAAAACTCCTCTTTTATATAAGTCGGTTAATTAATATACTATAATCTTGTCCTAAGTGTAACAAACACTTTACTGAAAATCGTATCTAAATCGGTTCCACCAATCGCGGGATAATTGCGCACAATACACTCCCTCTCGCCTAACTCAAGGCAGGAGAAGTTATTAGATGATTTTCCCTCCTCAAAAAAAAAACAACCGTCACCGTCTAAAAGGTTCAGGAGTATTCAGGGTTCAGAGAACGCTGGTTCCCGGTCGCTGCCAAACGTTACTACTAATTGGCTCTCACAACTCCATTAAAGAAGTTGGTGTAAATCGAAAGGTAGCACAGCAGCACAACAATCCTACAAAAACAACATCCACAGCCTATAAGTGCCCACTGCTGATCAAAGGCCTCTTCTCACACGGAGAAGGTTTGAGCATTAATCACCACGCTTGCTCAATGCGGGTTGGCGATATCAAACATATAATTAGAAATTAGCCCATCCTTACGATGTTTTCCTTCACCGTTTGTCAGTGGTGTCTAAATAATCTTAGAAAGTACATATAACTCGGAAAAATTCACATACGTAGGTTTCGAACCAGCACCCTTATGCATTAGAAGCGGCCATCTTAACCTCTGGGCCACCACAACAACCTTATTTTACATATTTTCACAAATTTATTTCTCCATCTGCTCGTTTGCTTCGTATTCCATAAAAAACACAGCAAGTACTCCAGGGTTACATACTCCATGTTCGCAAAACCGTTGTCACCTTGCCGCCATGTTGCAATGGAGAATGTAAAGAATGATTTTATTGAACGTAATTGGTATTATTGCTGCAAGACATAAACAGTAATAATATTTTTACGTTTATATTAAATAGGTCACTCGTTTCAATATCTAGGTATTAAAATACCTTTCTTTGGTTTTATTTTCAAGGTTAATTTTCACTTTTAATGCCAAGTGAGACACGTCTAATCGACTGTATCGTTTGTCGATTCGCAAAGGTATAATAAATAGTGTCGTAGTGGCCCGGAGTTTAAGATGCCCGCTTCTCATGCATAAGGGTGCGGGCTCGAAATCTACCAACAGCAAAGCAAGTACCAATGTGACTTTTCCCGAGTTATATGTACTTTCTAAGATTATCTAGACACCACTGAAGGTGAAGGAAAACATCGTGAGGAAACCTGGGCTTATAATTTCTAATAATACGTTTGAAATCGCCAACCCGCATTGAGCAAGCGTGGTGATTAATGCTCAAACCTTCTCCGTGTGAGAAGAGAGCTCAGCAGTGGGCACTTATAAACTGTTGATGTATGTGTGTGATGTGAAGTGCTACTGTTAAGCTAGGGGTCTTGACTCTTGACTTTGATTACCATGTAAAATTTTCAGACTGGCAATTACAAAACACGGAGTCTGAAATCGGGCCTAGTGAATGACGTTATTCTCACCCTCTATTAAATGGAACATAACTACAACCATAACACTATGGAGTACTTGTTCCGTCCCAGAAATCAAACCGAAGCCCCCTTGCTCAGCAGTTGCTCTAGCAACCTTCTCCAACGAGATCAAAGAATCGAAAACCATAACTCCACTAACTGAGAAAATATTCGTCCAAAATTTCTACGGCATCAAACATTTATTTTACATTTGTTGGGCCACTATCTCGCCTGGTAGTAAGCGATGATGCGGTCTACAATGGATCACGTCGTCCCATAAGCAACCTATTAACTCGGGTCTTGAAGACACCCAGGTTATATCCTTCAAACACAGACTCTGGCAAAGACTTCTACTCCTTAGCAGTACGCACAAGGAAGCTTAGAAATCCAGGATCTTAACACACAAAAGGCACATTCAGCAGTGGAAGTCCAACGTCTAGTGGCTGATATGATGAAGATGATGGATCGCATGTAAGAATTAGCCCAGTCTTTGTTAAATAGATGCATTACACACGCTAGTTACAAACGGAATAAAGATGAAAGTCTGTGTTGTTACACTTTCATGCATCGAGCTCGGGTAGTCATGCTTGGCTAGTGCTGTGGGTGAGCTATTGGATCGCCACCGTGATATTTACCGTTCGATCCGAGCTGTCGAATTCAGGGCTCGTACACGCAACAGCGATGTACGAGCTCCCTCTACGCATCGCAAGAACTTGTGAATTGATTCGCATCGCGCATCAAAATCTCATCTTCCCAAAATCTTCTTTGTTTCTTTTTCCTATATCTCCTAAGCAATAACAGAAGTGCACACTTATTTTTACGATCCATGTCAAGACCCAGTTTTCAATTTAAAATACGTTTAGTACGGTTGACGGTCGTCGAAGGAATGGTCACCCTGAGAGACGCATTGTCGCACGAAATCACATCGCAGCAATTCGCATCGTAATTTTCTGCGTAGCAAATTCGTATCGCACCGCATCGCATTTTTGTGTACGAGGCCTTAGACCTTTTATGGTATTTGCCCTTCTAAATTTTAAGGTAAGATTAAGCTAAGATAAGTGACCTAACAGTAACAAGTAAGGGGAGGGTTTAGTTTAGATGCTACCATGTTACCTTTTCCTAAATGTAACAAACACTTTTTCTGAAATTTGCATCAAAATCGGATCAGCCGATCGCGCACAAACATACAGGTCATCATACATCATACAGACATACAGGTCAAAGACAGAACCTCCTTTGGAGACAAGAGATAATGTCAGTCCTTTGCTGGACTATAGAAGTAAGACTCCACTACTTAAGACTGTTTTCCACAATCTCCTCGTTTAGCAGGCGGTTTGGAGATCGCAATTGAAAAGCTAGACCTTTTCTGTGTCCTTCTGTGTCAAATATTTACTAACTTTCAAGTGTAGGAAAGCCATGCTTCGGCACGAATGTGTCGGCTCCACCGGAGTGATACCACAACCTCATAAAAAAACCGTACTAAAAACACTAAATTTTTGCGTTGTGTTTCGTCGTGCGAGTGAGGTTACCGGAGACCCAATTGCCCCCTCCCCGTTTTACCCTCTCGCCGTTCACCAATCTCCCCAACCCCTGAATCCCCAACAATCCTTAAATTCCTAATCCCCAAAAGACCTGTGACGCACTTGTAACGCCTCTGGTATTCCAGGTGTCCAAGGGTGAAGTCGATTGATTTACCGGTTTATCCTATAAAAAGACTTGGTCGGGTCATAGACGCCCACGGGAAGATGTACGGGTGGAGACAAATGCTTCTGCCGTTATCCCATCGCAATATCGTCACAATAGCGATATGATTATAGTCTATTTTATACCATCCAGTTTTATAAAGACGAAAAGAATCAGGTTACCTCATGATTGAATGAAATTAAATGACTTTTGACGGTTGAGACGTTGCCACTGTCCAATTGATAACCGTCACTTTAATACGTTAACGTACCTAGCTATATTTATTCTATTGCCTCGTTGGCCTAGTGGTCGCAAGTGCGACTGCCGAGTAAGGGATCTCGGGATCGATTCTTTTTTTATATATATATTTGATGGGCCGATGTTTGCCCACTATCTCGCCTGATGGTATGCGATGATGCGGTCTACGATAAAGCACGTCATCCCATTAGCCAGCTATTCACTCGAGCCTTGAAGACGTCCAGGTCATATCCTGATTCCCGGGTCGGGCAAAGTATTACTGGATTTTTTATAGGTTAACCCCCTATTACATGGGACTCATAAATTAAATAGTGAAAAGTGAGTGTTACATTGTACAGTGGCATTAAGTGCTGTAATGTGCACCTCTGCCTACCCCAACGGGGATAAAATGCGTGATGTTGGCAAAACCCAATCATACATTGCCCGACCTCGAAGTCAAAGTCAAAAAAATCATTTATATCAA